CCAGAATTTTTTTTAGTTTTCGATTCATTCTTCCAGAATTTCCTGACTCACCTATGTGGCGATTTTTATATTGTGTGCTGGTTTCCATCATCCTCCTCATTATCGGCTTACTTGGCGCTGGCATCTTCGCCAAAACGGCATTATTCACTTTCATCTTAATCTCGGTGATTTTATGAGCATTGGTTCTTTTTTTTTGCTTTTTTCTTCCAATTCCTTAGATTATTATCGTCCTATTTGTTCAAGATATGCTATTCTACATGGCTAATTTCTGTGATATTCGATGGAGCTATGCAAGTGCCTATACCGAAAGTAAACACTCCCGCTTATCGCGTCCATGAGAATGCTTCCGATCCCGGAAGCCCTATGATTGTGCAGTTGAATCAGACTTTAACGGCCAATTATACTGGATTTAGGTGTGTACGAGGGGTCTGCAGTATTATGTGTATTGGCTTGGATCATCTTGTACACTTCACTGAAATTGTTCCTTTAGTTTTCGAACGCTCGGTGAAAATATGTTTACGAACTACACCATGGATTATACGACTGAACGACAAACCGATTTTGCATTGATGTTTGCCATTATTTTCTCGGGTGTCACTGGTAAGCGCGTAAATTTTTCTGAACTCGGAAATTTTTCTTCCCAACGGTACAAAATATCAGTCTGCGAAGGTTGTTTGGGGTCGAGTGGATTATCTATCCAGATTTCTATGATTGGTCATCCAGATTTGACACTCCGTGAGAATTGGATGGCATGCTGGCATATGTCACTGCACCGCTCTGCTCCGTTTATACATACGCGTGATTACAGGCTTCTGGACTACTGGCAGTTGTTGTACGCAATGTGACATGAGAAGAGATAACTTGATGCTAAAAATCGATGCTTTTTGTCTGTGGTACTTTCCAGTGGTCTCAGAGTTGCTTGTTAAGGTCTTAATGGCTGGTGCGAACATGTCTGGCGAATTGGCTCGTCCTTCAGTCTCAATTCCTCGGGGCACTGTGCAGGCGGTCTTAGTCACGTTGCTCATTTACATTATGACTGCATTTTTGATGGCTGCTACATCGAGTAGATATCTTCTTCAGAACGACTACACTGTATGCGGAATATTTCCTTTCGACTTTCTGCACAGATACTATTACTATATTTCTGTATTATTTAGGTAATGATGGATACAAATTTCCAAAGATGGTTTATCCTCATTGGTATTTTTTCTACTACACTGTTTTCCTCTATGAGCAACCTTATAGGTATGTTTTTTCCCTGAAGTGTTTTTATTGCCATTGATTAATGAGAGAAGTTTGACAGCTTCTTGAATTAGTACTATTTGTGCCGTTAATGGTGCAGAAGTTATGTGATTACACAGAAAGTTGACCCTTTGGGGACCTTCGGCAGGAAAAAAAAAGATAATCAAATCATCTCGTAAAGTGCGATCACCAGTGATGCTTCGGTTGATCAAAGCTGAACGTGGGGAATAATACTTTTCCACACAGCGTAAGTCCGTAGTCTCAGCAACTCACTCTAAGTGCATTGGAAGGGGTCGAGCAGAAGAGGTTAAAAGAAGTATACAGCCAGAACCCCAACCGTGTGGTTTGACGCAAAATTTGCTTAATGTTTCATGTTGTTGTTGGTGGTCTCCGACCTTGCACGTTCTCTGATCTTATAGAGAGTGCGATGTGCATACGAATATTGAAAACAAAATGATAACAAAGTAGATAGCCACTGGTAGTTCGTGCGCCGTTATTGTACAATGTGTGAAAGCAACAATGGTCTAGACATGACTTACCCCCCCCCCCCCTTCCTTGGACAGTTATGCAGAACTAGTTTAGTTGACGATTATAGTGATAATCTATGCTGGACTTGTCTGCAGCGCAGCTTCTTTTTTTTGTCCTCCTGTAAAGTTTGATGCAAAATGTAGATCGAGTCTGTGAATATCTCTTTTACCTGGATACAAATGAACGTGAATCCATCTCTAAGGGTAATTTAATTGTGCTAGTTCGGCAATAGAGCATATTCTAAGTACAACGCACGTAGCGCGCGGTTTCAAGGTTCGGTGGTGTTTAGAGCAGATACCATTTGGAAGTGCAATAGTTATGATTTTGCTTCTGCCACTTGATGCACGCTTCGCTTCGACACCGTGTGGCGAATTTCATTCTTTCACGCGTTCTTTCGGATCGTTTTCTTGGCCTCTTAGCTGTTTGGAGCAAGTTTAAATTCTGTAGCGCGCTCACTTCAACAGCCCGCCCATATCGGTGTTGTTATCACACGTGTTTCACATCGCCAGGGGCGGGCTTCAGGTGACGCCTATTTCTGTAACATACAGACAATCAAATATGAAAGCAAATGGACAGACGAAGTGCTCCTTTGATGAAATGGGCTTCCTATATGTCCATCGATAGCCTCAATGTTGGTGATTTCAGGATCGTCTCGCGTCCTCAATCGTCTCTCACATGACAAACTTTTTGGTTGCCTCTTAAGGCCGGCAAAGATAGAGATTGGGGACCGAAATCCTGTGGTTTCGGTCATCATAACATGGCTCTGCGTAGTGGTTTGTCGTTTTCTTTTTTTCACATGTTCATAGTGTCTTACGCCGAATTTTAAAGGGAGTCTTCTTGGTTGGAGCAATGAACAAAATTGCAAAGCTGACCTCGATATTCTTCCTTCTTTCGTACATGGGAGTCAATATTGCCTGTCTTGCGCTCGAGCTCACAAGCGCTCCGAATTCAGGTAGTTCTGTTTTATCAGTATGTTATCCTCATTTTACAACGCCCTCTGATATTCATTCTGAAATATTAGTTGTCCGTTGAGTAATATTTGGTTTTTTTAAGTAGGAACATTTCCTATTAGACTCCAACTTTTTTATAAAGTAATATGTCATTTGAAAAAGAATCGTTCGCTCTCCAAGTGAGATCGTGCCTGTTTTCCAAACAGTGCTGAAGTACAGGTTTGCAAATTGAACACCGGAAATAGACGACGGGAGGTAACAAACGAAAACTGACGTGATGTTTGGAATTGATCGTAACAAAGGGTGCCTCCTGCATATGATTAATTTTTCCGCACTGAGAGAAAAGTTGTAGTAGTGTCGTCATTCTCATTGACACACACCTTATTAATTTTGACGACCGGATGGCCGGTGGGCCCACTTTCACTCGAAGGCGACTCGTTTTTCGTCATTTATTTGGCATTTTTAAGTGTTTTAAAACTACCCGTATACATTATCGGAATCGCAAAACAATGTGCTCATTACTAATAATGAAATTGTTGGAGTGTTAATGGATATTGATGAAAAAATTTAAAAAGAAATGAAGCAATGCACGCACAACGGCGGTCGTCAAAGGGTTAATTAAGCCTGAAATCCTACCATTATCACAACGACGTGTTAGCAAAGCGTGTATCCGAATAGAGCAAAAGTGCGCTTACGAATGAGGTGAAGTTGTGTAAACATAGATTTTCAGAAAGCTATGGTTGATAAATAAGGAATTCCAAAACACGATACATTTGTTGGAAATCCAGTAGTGCGAATATGTTTGGAAACAACGTCTGGGTGATGGGAGGGGTACTCACTTGATTGATTTTTTGAGGAAGCAGAGAGTTTGAGGTCGTCGGTTTGGCTGCTCTCCGTCTATGAACTCCGAGTTGGGAATCATTCAGTATCAGTCATTACAACATGAAAGAGGTACTATGTGCTTTATAGGGCGAGCACATCTCTTCCTAATGACATATGATATTGTGAAAACTTGGGGTCTTACAGCAAAATTTTTCATTCGAAAAAAACCGACACAGTGTACCTATCGAAAAACCTAATGTATTTTTCATGACTTGCATTTTGTCGATTCGAAAACTTGTTGTTGCATATTTCAAACGCGAGTTGTGTGTGGAATCAAATCAGTTTCACGATTATTACAGAATTTTCGGTTTCTCCAGAAACTACAGTATGTAAGGGAATCTTGAGAGTTGGTGAAAATATTATAGTATCATAAATTTTATCTTAATTGACCTTTTTGTAGGCCTACATTCAAATATTTTGCCTGGTGGACGTGCGCTCTTGGCGTGATTTGCACCACAACGATGATGTTGGTAGTAGATGCGTCGATGAGCGCGATTGGTATTGTGGTCCTAATGTCACTTCATTATGGTGCTGCATTACCAAGTGAGTTCTCTTTACCAGTCATGGCTATAGATTCATTTTTCGAAAGGAACGACAGAAGTATTATTCTAATTTTAATTCTAACTATATGTTGTTCTTCCAGGCGCCAACAGTATCGTCCGGTTCAATTTCACAAGCGTTGATTTACCACCAAGTCCGAAAATACCTCCTTCTATTAGATGTCCGAAAAGAGCATGTCAAGTATGTAGCCAACAGTTCCTCATGACTGGATCAGAAATATCAACGTGTTCATGCTTATAGGTATTGGCGCCCGCAGATCCTGCTTCTTGTTTCAAGGCCTTCTTTCGTGCCCACTGATGGATTTTGTCAATGATCTCAAGAAGTCTGGGCTTTATGTTATCGGACATGTGCGGAAGGGCGAGCTAGATTCAACGCAGGCTGTTGATCCACTTCAGCAAGTTTGTCAAGCTATTTTTCCACAGTTTTGTAAGGAATTCACCGCTTTACACCTTCCTTTCATACTTTTTTCTCAAGGTGTTTCCATATTGGTTGTCTCTGGTGGATTATCTGAAACTAAAAGCTTTTGTCGAGCTCACGCTTTCCAACAGCATTCGAGAAGGTATTCAGCAGGTTTGGTATCGAATTTTGTACGTCATGTGATTATCTAGACGTTCATATTTAAATTAGAACTATCACCCTTTTTTGTAGCTTATGCGACTATCTGGATTGGGCGCGATGAAGCCGAACACAGTAGTGTTAGGATTCCACGAGGCTACACCCATAGATGTGACCTGCAGGTGAGTCGCTGCAATTTTCTTCTGAACATGACTTTAGCTCTTGTTTTTTTTTCGCTCTGCTTGCAGTTGGTCCGAAGACGAAAAATCGCCATAGGCTGATTTCTGACGGAATGAAACAAAGTGAAATATCGCTCTAAAAAAAGAGTTATCGTTTCTCTCGTATATTTCTCTTGGTGACGGTTTGATCTCTGGTCGAGTACGCTTTGTGGTCTACAAATGCGAGGTTGTTACGCTCTAAATGGATCAATCTTGGGATCACCAAAAGGGTTAGACTGGATGCGAAGAAACAGTTACCTTCACTTTTGCCTCACTTATTCTGCCTTCATAGCATTCTTGTTTATGGCAGAGAAAAGAATATCCTAATTATAAACTATGTTAGCTATTATTTATATTCTGAAAGGTAGATAACACTAAGGACGACAGTGTGGAGACATAAGTTCCGCACTTCCACGACGACAGGATTCGTATTTGCTAGTTTGTGGGCCTCCCTTTTCTGCTCAGACATTTGTATGCCTGATAGGGATGAACAGAAGGCACTCTTTTATCGACAAATGGAGCTATTGCAGTCAATAATTATTGATGAAGAATATCAAGAAATGAGCGGCTGTCGTCGGCTGTCAAACTTGACGTTTAATCCTTGTTTAGCATTGCCAGAAATCTCGCGTAGAATTATTTCTTCGATGCTTCTATGAGAAATCACAGCGGCGTTAATTTAAAATAATTGATTCTGTGTGAATGCACTGGAAATTCCATCTTCCACGGGTGGCAAAGAGCTCTTTCTTCAATCTGTTCATAATTTACTTCTTTTCATTAATATACATTTCACGGTGCAAATCACTGCCTTTTTCTCGTCAGTAATGATTGTCTTCCCTTAGCTAGAGATTTAGATAGAGATTGCTCTGGGCGTTGGAGGTGAACTTAGGCGTATAGTTGGTGTTCAGTTTCATTAGAGATCATGGCATCTCAGGGCGGTTTTTACGATGAAATAGCCTACCGCTGGCGATCGCAGAAGTGGTCAAGGAGCAGTGTTGAAGAAAATCACGAAAAACGGCCCAGAACCCGCGAAATGGGACTTTTCGTAGCCCGTCGCTTGCCGGCTTTGTGTTGAATCGCGACTTTATATTTACGAAGCTAGTTTGCACGTCCTTCAACTTTTAACGTACCCGCAAGCGTCATGCTCTGACCAATGTTACTTAAAAATATTTAAGGATAATGCCGCTCAAATTGAAGTGCCTTTTCGAGGTGAAGGGCAGACGATGGCGGTAATAGCGGCAGCATACAATACGCTTCTGTCATTACTCAGCCGTTGATGGGTGTGTAGCGTCGCTGGTACGGTCCTACTAAGCGCTGCATACTCTTCGCTCCGAAATGCGCCAACGTTCATCGTCCCGTATCTTAGAGAGCCTGCATCTCCTTCCGCTGCTTACACTTTTCCTTCTAAAACTCCGATCTTATCGTGGAATTCTCTTTTCAAGAGCGCCTCTCGCGATTTGCGCTTGGCTGGAACAACCCATCTATGGGCGAGCTATAATTAGTCTCATTTCGGGGCTCAAAACAGAAAAACAAATTTGTCCACGAAGATATAGCTCGAACGCCACACCGACCTTGATTAGTCGCAATTCGCTCTTTTCTAAATAATTGGCAACAAAGGTCAGTCTCTGTTAGTTAATTTTTGTGAATTTTGACCAATTATCATCTGTTTTCACCTTCATCGGTTTAAATTATCGCATTTGCTGTCCTGATGCTATATGGCGGTACTACAGCCATTGCCTCGGAGAAAGAGAATTTTGTGGCATAAAACGCACAACATGAAATGCCTTATTTTTCAATCCTTAAGGAGTTATTCGAGTTATTAAAACAAGTAGAGAAAAGCTACAACAGAAAAACGTGCATTGTTGTAATGACAATAATGCCAACATTTCAGTGCGTGGATATCTAGCAGTATTCAGCTGCAGATGACAATATCTTGATCTCGTTAAAAGTTGCTTGTTTAGGAGTCTCAACTTCTAAAGGATTTGCGTTATTCAAAGATTGATCGTGCTGCGGTGGTCGAGTACTTCACTGCGGGCGATTTCATGCCTAAGGTTGGTAGTTTCTTGAGCAAAGCTTTCTTATAAGTGTCGCATTCCTATCGAAAACAAAAGATCAGTCACTTAGTGTGGCGTGCGCCCTCCAAATCATGCTGTTTTATTATGTGGTTACATCTCTTACTAAACTCACTTGAAGCATAGTGAACTACCTTTTTCTCTTAAGTGACAGTTTTATGCTCTGAACTTTCTGTTCAGGAATTGAATGGCAATATGGAACGGCTGTCATCGTCAGAATATGTTAATGTTTTGAAAGATGTGCTGCACATGACAAAAAGTTTATGCGTCGCAAGGCACTTTCATAAAATGGATAAGGTTCGTTTACACAAACATTAAACAAACGCGAAGCACTCTTCACAAAGAAACCCTTGAGATTGAAAGGAAGTTTGCTGCACTGGCGATATCGCAGTCCAAAGATGACCCCACTCAGCAGACTGTGTTGGAGTGCTGCTCGGGTCATACAAGGGACGCACCCATGTCATTCATTTTCGCACATGTGGGACTTCCTCCCGGGTTTTGATCATATACTTTCTCTATGGCCTATACCATAACCATACCTTCTAGTACACAAATTCTGTTAATATTCTGTGCGTCAAAGTGTTGCTTGAACCTTAATCTTTCAGCTCTGTGCACTTCGTTTTTTTTTTTATTCAAAATTTAAGCAGTAAGTGTATGTACAGAATTCGACCGATGGTAAGATGTGTTTTGTTTAAGCAATCAAAACAAAAATGATGTTGCCTTCCGAACAACACGAAGTTTTTCTTTTCCGTTGCCATTACACAACTTTTTGATCGGAATTTTTCCGGGTGTTATTATTTACCATCACGTATTGCTGAAATTGTGTTGTGCTTTTCATTCTTCCATATTCTCCCTCGAAATCCAAATATGCAAGATAAGACCTTCCCACTCGCAAAATCGCGCATATTTCACGCGTTGTGCCGCCTTTTAGGGGTTAAAGGATGTTATCTGGAAAATAAAAGGGTGCTAATCAGAAAAAAAAAAAACCGTTTTAAGGGAAGTCGACGAAGAAATTGTTTTATGAGTTATTAGTGCAACGCAGTTGCGAAGGTGGGCTGCGCAATGTTGGCCCTAGACATGCCAATACACCACGCATTGACGTGCCGGGAACAAACTGGCACAGCCTTATTTTAGTAGCAAACACCAGGTGACCAGTTGAGAGGGATTCTGCTCATACCACCCTTCAGCATCCCCCACCCGGTTAAAACTACCTAACTGGACCCATCTGAGTTGGACGATCGCCAATTCAAGCTGCACTCCATTTACCTAAAATTCAACTATTTTTCGAGTTTGCTCAGAAGTTTGGTAAATTCTCTCAAATCGACCCCTGGAAGAAAATTTAACCCTATTTCCTTTCTTGGGAGCGTTTTGGCTTCATCCCAATACGCCGAAAGCTGAATAGGCTTCCTCGGAGGAGACTCGGGTGAATTCGTTTTCGCTTCAGCGTGGACTCATGAGTGAAAATCAAACCCTGAGCTACTTATGGCTGGTCTTCTTAAGTCATTTTCCGAAGAACATACGGAACATTATTCTGATGAGTAATTGAAGTCTGACGCATGGTTTAAGGCGAATCTCACGTTTTAAAGAGAGCCTACAGTAAACGGTAGAAGTGGTCGGGCAGTAATGTATGGATGAAGAAAATACGAAAATCCCTAAATTGCGAATGGGACCCGTTTTGCCTGTTGATTTACGCGTCAGCATGTCTTGTCAATGCTGACTTCGTCAATGCTAACGCCTTCGCTTTTTCTGTGGCACGGCGAGGACTGGGTGGGCAGCGGTTATAGCGGCGCGGGGACAACCACGACTAGCCGGGCATGTCCATCGCTGCAATTTCGTGTCGGTCCGCACCCTTATGGTATCGCCTGTGTTCACTAGGTAAGTTCCCACTCTTGACCCCCTGATCGGTAATTCTTCCTTTAAGATTTGAAATCGATAAGTGGAAGATTCAAATGCGATGAGGAGCAGTGGGTTAGTACCTGGAGTACGCTAGCATACATTATACGAAGTTATACGATTCAGATAACAACAAAAAATACTTTCTTTGTACTGTCGTTTCAGATATCTAATGTGCACATTCTACTGATGGTTGGTGATTGTTCTTTTTCAGGAATCACTTTCTCAAAATTGGAACCAGAACGATACATGACGTGTGCGTCGACTCAGAGGCCCGTTGAAACAGGGCTGGGTTGGGACAACAGGTTTGATATATTTCTTTCGTAAACGAGTACGGTTTGCTAATCATTATTTTCAGTTCCTTGTTTTTGCTACAGTTAGCGTGTATCCTTTCAATGTCATCACGGTGGCGGTCTCACGCACGCCTTCGAGTGTTTATATGCGTCAACAGTTTGCAGGTGACTATATTCTTTTCAGCACCTTTATCAAAAGTTCTTAGGATCTTAATAGTATTCCATCATGTCGTGAAATGACTGCGCTTATTAATTTTATTCTCTGTTTTATTCTCGAAACATTTGTCAAATTTTTCATCAGTAAACACGATAAGTAGGATGGTCATGAAGAGAGAGAGTTTGATAGGGGAGAGGGTAAGGAGTTCAAAATTCATATTCAGGATATGCATCGTCGAGATCGGCAGCTGAAACAAATGCTGGACACTTTGCGTATCAAAGCAGAATCAATTGTTGTGCCGTGGGATCATGTAGTTTGTCATTTTCCACAACAAAACGGACCTGCAATAACAACCCAACGGTACGTTTTCTTCCTCTAAAAGTAAAGAAGCGGTTACGCTAGCCTCAGCATAACTAGGCAAAGCTACGTGAACCGATGTTTATTGTCGCTTTGGTTCAAAATTTGCTATATTTGAGCAAGTTCAGGCCCACGGTTGAGCTACCAGCATCATACCTTACCGCATTCAACGACATGATCAAGCGCTACAGCGAGGAGGCGGCAATAACACTTTTGAATCTCCCATTGACTCCGGATGAGTGTGGATTCAATGCTGCAGGTGAGTTGATCAGTCCATTAATCCTTTTGAGCTCGAAGGGGCAGTGGGGATATAGATGAAATCATACAGATAAGTCAAATGTACAAAAAGCCGATTTAATAGGTACTGGATCAAATTCGCCGTGTTAACGACGACTATCACGACGCTGATGGTTCATGGAGTGTCATCAGTCATCTCTACAGCGCTCTAACGTAATCTTGTAAAATTTCAAAGTTTATGATTGATCTGATTCAGTTTCCAGTTTCGAATTCAATCCGATTTCTGAATTGATATGTGAACATCTTTCTTATCTGTTTGTATATTTTCATGGAACGAATATCATTCATCTCAGTAGTGCTTTTTGCCCATGCGCGTGGTTCTTAGGTCTAACCGGTGCTACAGTAATAATACCTATTTCTTCAGTGATTGTTCAGTAATGTTCCAGTTAAGCTAATACTACAACTTCAACTATGTGAATAGTTTCACAAAGCTGGTTCTCTTTTCATTACAACTTTCTTCTGCTGATTTCTAAAAAAAAAAACATTAACTTATTGATTTTTATGTATTTGTTATTCTTCGAAAATATGTGCACTATTACTCATGTTTGGAACAATTCCGTCTGGCCTTCTCTTTCTTGTGATGCATTATCCTGTTTTCGTTTTTCCAAAGGAGTTTCGCTGAATGTATACCAAAAGTTACAGAAAGCACAGTGCAGTTTTGCCCAATTTTGTAGTATTAATATGACTTTGTGATAATACGCCACCACTTCTAAGTTAAATCCAGTTTTTTAAAATTGGTCTTCTGTGATCAAAATGGTTGTAGCGAAAATAAAAGCGGTGTATGTGGTCTTCTGTGTGGTCCTACTTCCAGTTCTGGAAAATTATTTGAAATCAAACGGTGATTTCGTGGTGGAATCAGTTTGCTCAGATTCAGCACTGAATTTATGTGGCTTCGCAAATATTCAAAGAGCTTGACATCCAATGCTGTACTACGAAGCATACGGAAACTGGTTATAATAAACGTGGATTCCGTTTTAAGGAGGATTTTACGATAAGATCTGAGGTCGAAAAAGGATAAATATACCTAGTCGAGGGGCTGATGGGCCCGGTGCAGGGAGATGCGCGTTACGCAGCGAATAGTATGCTTCCGATAACCGAAGGGTGTACCTGCTGCCTCGTATCCTCCCTCGCCATCTGACTTGACCGCCTAACAGAGAGAGAGAGAGCATTAGCGTGACAGAGGACGACGATGAAGTCTCATTGATGCGTATTACCAACGGCAAGAAAGCGGCTTTTTTTGACATTTCATGCAACATCATATAATCTCTCGTGAACTATGCAATTCTGAGTTACATAGGATCTACTCATGATCGGTTTGCCCAGATAGGTGCTGGCTGGCTAATACCATTACAATAATATAGTACTGCAATTGAATTATTTTGCAATTATTTCATTCTATAAAACAATTGAGTTCATTGTACATAATGACACATTATTAGGGCCATGCCCACGGAGCTGAACCAATTTGCCTTTGATGTCCATTACCGAAACCGAAACTTCGTCCACCACTTCGGCCAGACCCTCCGAAACCGAGATCGAAATCACGACGAATGCAAGACTGCCACGGGCGTTTCGACACAAAACCAGTCGCAATGTCACTGCCCAGACTGCGATTTGTTTATACTCAAGTTGCTTCGAAATAATGCGATGGTCTTACCTGGTCCAGCTGGTCCCCGAAGCAGGGATGAGTCCGTTCCTGCTTCTTCTTCATAGGTCGCACCTCGACGAATTTCACCTGCGCTCGGCGCATGCCATCTTATTGGCCTTTTTTAGTTAGGTATCTCTTAAATTAAGCCAGTAAATGAAAACCTATGGAGAATGAATGTTGTGAAACGAACTACTAAAATAATTGAGAGCTCCAGCCACCTGACTGGAACTGGTGTCCTTGAACTTGTTTTGTGTAAATTGCAATGTCGTGGATTCAAATCACATACAACTTCTGTTAGGCTTCTACCCTCAGCTGCTGGAAAAAGTACTTCACAAAACTATTCATTACTAAAGGTGACATATGAAACTAACCAGCAATGGCAATTATTATTACCATAAATCTCATTCCAATCGATCAATGAGTTGCCACTCACAGTCGGCTGACTGACGACCAGAATTTCTGTTTACGGACTAGTTTACACAGTCCTTGCTTTCGTCGAAAACAGCTTGAAAGATGCAAAATTCATTGCAGCCAATTTGATGAAGTCAACTCAGAACATATATAGACAAAACTAAGCTATTTTCCACAAATAAAACATTTTTAATTCAAAGGAAATGTAGCAAAGGACCTATCACATTGCTTATAGTAAATAGGACGCAAGGCAGAGAGTACGAAGACCAATGATGTTTGGATCAAATAGAAAACTAATTGTCAAAGGAACGAAATTGGTAAATGGAAGGGCGTAGGGCAGTACCATAAAAACCAGTTGGAAAAAATATACATGTATGATACCAGTTTTGTCGCGCACGCATTCGCGTGCATCACATGGCACTGCAGTGGTATTAAAGCAGGGCCATCGCTAATTTTGTAACGCTTTCTGGCACCTCCCCCACCTGTCTGTTGAGCATTCCGTTGTCGACTCTTTCCATTTTCTCCCGATCTCCCCTTCTTCTTGGAACCGAATTTCGTGGATAACTCCTTCCTTTACTTTGGATACTTTCGATGGATAACTCCATCCACACTAGTGGACGCCCCACCCACCTATAGTTGCTGACCTCCTTTTGTTGCCGAACTTTCACCACTTTTCCCGGTCTCCAGGACTTCATGGAACCGAGTTATAATGGTTCGTGGATAACTCCGCCCGTAATGGTGCATACCCCGCCCACGAGTTATGAAATTTTCATTAACCACCGCCTTATCAGAGAACGCCCCGCCCACCGAGGGTGGGTCTCCTAATTCGATCTGGCTTACCAACGCACACCTATACCCACTTTTGTCCCCGGTCTCGAGGCTGTTTTGTGACTGAATTTGAAATCATGGTCCTCAGTACCACTCATTTCGACGCACGCCACGCCCACTGTGGGGGGGGGGCTCCGCTAGGCTGATGTATGTTTTGTACTTCTCGGTGAATCTCCAGAAAGTTAAGATTTTCGTGACAGACAGACACACACAGGCATGGCGCATTATTTATAGTAGGAATACTGGACCCGTAAGCGATCTGAGCATATTGAGTTTTGTGCATCGAAACTTCCACGAAAATCATATGCATTAGAAGAATCGTAAGTCGGAAGTAGATCAGAGGCAGTCCACCCTGCCAGCGTGCAGCAAGCTGAAAATAAAACTTCATAGTTGCACATCAATTACAAAAAAATTCACCATTTTGAACTCAAAACCCTGTCCCATCACCATGATGATCAGGACCAATTCTATTTCAAAATATGAGTATCGGCGTTGGTCAATCCCTTTTGAGATGAGTCAGGCATTCTAGTTCTTCTCAGAAATGGAGTGGCACCATGAGTGCGATTCTAGCTGCACAACGGATTACGAGGTCTAGCCGCTGGCATCAACCAACTGACTACGGAGGAATAGAAGGCCTGGCTTGATCTGGACGAGTACTGTCCAGGATTTGATTCGAATCATGCATGGAGCACTACTTGGAACAACACCGCTCAGCATCAACCCTATTTTTAT